TTCGCGCAGGAGGTGGGTGGCCTCTGGGTGCCCCCCCCCGGTGTCCTTGAGGTGTGGACTGTTGTGGGCCCCATCCCAGGTGCCCCCTCCAGCTTAGGGTCTGAAGGGGCAGGCGTGGTGCCCTGTCTGGCGTGCAGAGGCCCCGGCGTGTGGGCCAGAGGCTGTCTCTGCTCCCTGGGCTGCTGTTCTGGGAGGGCCGGAAGCTGAGGTGCTCTGAGCCTTGAGGTGGCTGTCCTCCTCTTGCCCGTGCCCTCTCAGGTGCGTCCCAGTCACTGGCAGGGCTGTGGCCCCTGTGCCACTATGTGCCCCCAGATGTGTGCCTCCGTGGGCAGCGGCCTCGGCTGGAGGAGGACGGCAGCATCGATGCGGACCTCACCCGGACAGCAGTCCTCCAGGGCTCTTCCTGCCGCCGGCGGGGGCTGTCCTGGGGCCTGGGGAGGCTCGAGCCCCCTCCCCTGCTCGGCCTCCACCCCCACGCTCGCGCTCTCTGGCAGCGGCTGCAGGAGCCTTGGCTGCCCGCCCGATCTGGTCTCTGTGCGTTCAGAGAACAGAGACAAAACAAAATAAATTGGTTTCCTGGCCGGAGCAGCGGGCGCGCATGGGGAGGGGGGCCGGTGCCGTGCGGCTCCCTGCCTGTCTCCCTCCCAGGGGCTCTGGCTGTCGGCAGCCACATCCTGTCGGCTACTTTTTTATATTTGGTATTTTGAGAAATCGACGATGGTTGTAAATGGAGTGCGGTGGGGGGAGGGGCCTGGGCCTGCCCACAGGGAGGCGCTCCTCGCGGCCTGGCCCGGCCGGCCCCGGAGCCGTGGTGGGGGCTGCGGGGGCTGCTTCCTCCGGCGATGACTATCCCATATGTCTGAGTGACAGGAGGGGGCCCGGGTGCCCGCCTTCCCCAGCTTCTGCCAGCACAGCCGGCCGGCGGCTCGAGGGGGCGGCAGAGCTCATCTTTCAGGAGCTCCGCCAGGCCTGACGGATGCTTCCCTCCCGGAGCCGCACGTGTGCCTGGGGTGCTCGGGGCGTGCGTGGGCGCTGGTGTCTTCCACGCCACGTCGTGGGTGTCTCTGTAGTCTAGGCGAACGCAGTGGACTTTGGGGAAGAGGCCCCACTGGGTACGTGGTTCGGAGCGTGGGGCTTGGAGGCTGTGGCCCCGTGGCTGTGTCGTGCTGTTTCTGGAGCCTGTGAGGGTCCACAGTCTGAGGACCCCCATGGTGTCTGGGCAGTGCCTTCTCCCAGCAGCATTCTTGGAGGTGGCCAGTGGTGTCTGGACCCCACGTAAGGCTCTGGCCAGCAGCAGTGGTGGCCTAAGAGGGTTGGTGGTCCTGGGGGAGACAGCCTCGTGGGCGCTGTGGCGTGGTGGCCAGTGGGTGAGGTGCAAGTGCCCCTTGGCCTCCCTTTCCCTGGGCCCTGCCCTGCCCACTCCCTGAGTCTGGATCCGAGACCTGAGGTGGAGGGTGCTGGGGCTTCTGGACCCTCTGGCTGCTGGCCTCTTCCAGGCCCAGCTTTGGGGGCCCCCAGATGTTGGCTGATGAGTGACACTTGGATCGTCTGAGGCCTATTCTCGTGCATCTGCACTCCTCAGTCCCCAGATTCACACCTCGAGCCGCACTGGGGCCCGAGTCCACTCGAAGTGCTGCTGGGTCTGGTTGGGGAGGCTGAGCAGCCGTAGGCTGTGTCCACCCCACTCCTCTCCCACGGCCCCGGCGCCTCACAGACGTGATCTCATCCAGCCACTGGACCCCAGGGAGGTGGGGCGGTGTTGGGGGAGGGGGCTGACGGCCTTCACAGCCTTGGGCCCCTCTTTGTTCCAGTCCTCGGGGAGAAACTGAGGCCGGCTGGAGGTGAGAGGTGAGGGGTGGCTATGAACCCTGGCCGCAGAGGTGGGGAGGCACGTCATCCAAGTCCCCGAAACCCCGGCCGACACCCTTCTGACCCCCCACCCCCACGGGACCTCCGCTGGGGGTGGCAGGGGTGGGGCTGCAGCTGAGCCCGCCCCGAGGGCGCTCTGGCCTCGCTGTAACTTGGGATACCGCGGGGACAGGCCCAGGCCTGCCTGTATCCAGAGCCCGCCATCCCCTCTGCTCTCTCGCCAAACGGCCGTTAATGGCCTCTCCCAGCTACTGAACCGGCAGCTGCCTCCAGCGCTGGCGGCCTCCCGCTCCTCCGGGCCCGCCGCCCCGCCCCTCCTGGCCGCCCGCACTCAGGGCGCCTGCGTCGCTGCTGGCAGCGGGAGCCCCGCGGCTCAGGTTTCTGGCTGTTTGTGGAGAGCGCCCGACGCTCAGCCGCTCGTGTCGGCCCCCGCTCCTGGCCTGCGAGTCTGCCCCTTCCCGCTGGTCCAACCCGCGGGCTTGCAGGTGGCCGCAGGGCCGCGGGCGTGACGCCTGTGACCGCAGAGTGCCCCTTGGTGCCGCGGGCCGGGGGGCACGCCCTCCTCCTGCCAGCCCTGCGCCGCCTCCCGTGTGCCGGCCTGGTGCTTCTGGGCAGGGAGAGAGCATCCTGGTGGGAGGGCAAGGTGGGGGCCGGTGGGCGGTGCAGTGGTGGAAGCAGCCGTCTCTATAAGGGATGTCCTACGCCTTCTGGGACAGAGCAGGGTGTCAGTGCTGGGGGCCCGTGCAGCAGCCGGCAGCTGGAGGCAGGGCTAATTCAGCATTGCGTCCCCCGCCCCATTTGCTAGGGCACGTGGGTGGCGGAGGTCCCGGCTCTGTGCCCACTTGAGCCAGTTTCCTTGGCAGTAGGAACCCAGCCAGGCAGGTGGGTAGGAGAGAGCTGGGACAGGGGCCTCCTGGGGGAAGACGGTTTGCCCCGGGGACCGCAGGTGGGACTTCTATAGGAAAGGCGGGTGAGGGATAGTGACAGCATGGGCTGGGGCCCGGGGGAGGGGTATAGGCAGGAGCTGAGGGGAGTCCTCCAGAGTGAGATCCTGGAGTGCTGGGGATGGGGACGGAGGCAGGTGGGGGGCTCGGGCACCCTCACACTAGCAGCTCTTGCTTGACCCGTGGGTCTCAGAACGGGTCTCTGCCGCTCCACAGAGCTGGGCCTGTGCCTAACCCCAGCACTCCAGGGCCATTTCCGGGAGAGCAGCTGCCTATGGGTAGCCGAGACTCAGGGGACCCCTGTGGGAATGCCCATTGGACCCTGGGGCTGACCGGGGTGGGTGGGGGCTGGGGGATCTGAGGGCCTGGGAGCTCCCAAGCTCCCATGGACCCCGTGGAGGCTGCACTTGCTGCCCCCAAGTCACAGAGGAATTGGCGGGGGCCAGGCAGTGGGCTCCGAGCGGTCCTGTGTCAGCGCGCGTGTGATGGCTTGGGTGGGCCTGGCTGACAGCACCTTGGAGAGGGATGGACAGAGCGGGTGCTGGTGTCTGGGTCGGCCGTGGCAGATGTGCCCGCTGCCTGAGTCGGCAAATGACCACGGTGGTCTGATGGAGGGAGTGTGGGAAGGCGGCTCTGAGCCCCCCACCTGCCCCCCGCCCCCGCCCATCTAGCGGCTCTCCTGCTAGGGCCCTCCCTGGCCTTGCCCCTTTGGTCTGTGAACCAGGCCTCGTCCTGCTGGCACCTTCTGTGGGTCCTGGTGCAGCAGGTGAGCGGGGGAGCACGCAGCCGGGCCTTCTCCCGCCCAGGGCTCTGACGGAGATGAAACCCCGCGGAGGAGCCAGGAGAGGCCGGGGCTCGGGAAGGCTGAGTGGCGCTCGGAGACAGGCGGGAGCTTCGTGCAGGGGAGCTGAGCGAACACTGCCGGCGTTGTAATCGGAGAGGGGCAAGGGAAAAGAGAGCCTGAGCGCGGGCGGCTGACCCCATGCTCCCAGGGGACAGGTGGGAGAGGCAGAATGAGGAGAGAGTGAAGGATTCCAGAGGTGGGCCGGCTTCCTCTCTCGCAGACACACACGGGAGGGAGGCGGGCGGCGGGCCAGCGCGTACCTGCAGTTCCAGTCTGCGGTCCCGACAGCTGCAGCCACTTTGGGGAGGGGGAGGGGAGGCTCAGGGAGAGCGGAAAAACCCCAGCCGACACATCAACCAGTTGCTGCTCCGTCCGGGGCAGTCTGGGGGCTGGGGGACCCCCGCCGGCCCCTCCCAGAGGCTTGTCCTTGGGGTAGAGTGGCCCCCCGGGAGAGCACGGAGGCGTCTGTGTCCTCAGCCTGCGCCTCCGAGCTCGGCGCCTGACCTGGAGGGGTCGGGGGGGGTGCTTGCCCCCACGGGGTCACATGTGCTTCCTGGCAGCCCACAGGTGCTGAACAGGGTGGGGGCCGGCTGGCCCTCGGGCTCAGGCCTGGTGATGAATCATGTGGGGCCGCCAGCAGCTCATTCCCCAGGCTGGGGACAGGGAGCTGACAGCCGGGGCCGATCAGAGTGTTTCCAGCCCAGCTTGGCCCACGGCGGCGGCGGCGGCTGGCCCAGGGCGCGGGCCCGGCCCCTCCTTTCCAGCTGCCTCTGGGGCGTGCACACACGGGGAGCCCTGGGTCTTTGTCCCTCCTGGTGGAAGGCGAGGCCAGCATTCTGGGAAGGAAGCAGGGCCTGTGGGGGGCAAGGAGCACCTGCCACCCCCAGCCCAGCGGCTGCTCAGCGAGTGGACTCAGATGGGGCCGCCTGGCTCGGGCCGGCCCGCCACCCCCAGTCTGGTTTGAATTTCTGCAGCAGTGAAGGGTGACGGAGTGCGCCTCCCCCGCCCCCTCTGCTCCCTCCTGTTGGCTGGCGGGCCAGGCCCTCGCCGCCGCATCGCTGCTACCGAGCAGCTCAGGGAGCCCTGGGCCCACTGCCCAGGCCCAAGTCGGCCAAGCTGCAGCCGCTGTTGGAGTCACAGGCCCGGCCTCGGGGAACTGGCCCATGCACGCTGGGCCCCGACAGGCGAGGTCCCCGGGGGGCCATCCCAGCGGGCCTGTCCTCTCCCGCTGGCCTCCCGGAGCCGCAGCACCTCCTGTGGAGGCCTCCTGACACCCCTCAGCCGTGGGGCTCCGGGGGGTGCCCCTCCCTCTTCACCCTCCTCTGGCCTCACGTGGTACGTGTTCCCTGTTCACACGCGCCGCTCTGTGGCCTCGAGGTGGGCGCCCACTTGCGGGCTCGTTGTCTTGGCGGGGCTTCCTAAGGGAGGTTCACATCCTCCCACCCAGGCTCCGGTGTGGACGTGTGATTACAGTAGGTGGGGGGTGGGTGGGCCACAGACCCTCCCCACAGAACATCACCCTGTGCGCAGTGAGGTGGGGGAGGCAGGCCCAGAGGCCTGGGGTGCACCTGCCCCTCCCGACACTCCCCCCTGGGGTTCTCTCAGCCCCCTCCTCCGGCCGGCTGTGGGCTCCTGCAGGATTAGGGAAAGGAAACTTGGGGTTGGGTTTCTCTCGGAGTGGAACCTGCCATGGCGACTTTTTATCCTGTTATATTTCTATCACGTTGGACACAGCCCCCCTCTGGCCCTTAATGGCTCTGGCTTTGAGAGTTTCCTCCAAAATTACACCACGGCTTCCTGTTTCGCAGTTCCCCGGAGCCCCTCGGTGCAGAGGAGGGGGCGGCTCTGGCCCTGTCCTATTGGGGTGCCCACGTGGGCCTCAGCACCTGGCCTCTCCCTGGGGACCCAGGAGGGTGGGTCAGTGGGGGCCTCTGGAGCCTGTGCTGAGGGCTCGGAGGGCCCAGTGCTGGCACCTGGCGCCTTCGGCCATTCCCTCTGTGGTCTGGCCCGGCCGGAAGTCAGGCTGCCGGCCCGCCCCGCCCAGTGAGGGGGAGGGGAGGGAGGGGGTTCGCAGAGGGCTGCCCCTGCCTTTCTTCCCTGCTGTGCGGGGAGAGCATAACTGTCACCTGGGATTTAACGGTCACCCGGCTGTGCGCAGCTCGGAGGGGCTCAAATCGCCCTGCCCTCGAGCAGGTGGGCCTTTGGAGGAGCTGGGTGGGGTGCAGCGGTGGGGGGGTCACGGAGCTCCTCTCCCCTCACAGCTCGTGGGGGTGGGGGAGCCAGGGCAGCCCAGTAGGGGTGGGACTCAGAGCCCTGTTTGGGGGTTCAGGGTGGGCACTCGGGTGAACGCAGGTGACTTGCACCCTTAGGCCTACCCAGGTTGGGAAACCTGCTGTGCTGGGCAGCGCCGTTCACTCCACCTCCCCCAGGCGTCCGCTCTGTGGGTCTCTGGGCAAAGGCCGAGGCTTGACATGATCGTGCTGCGAGCTCTGCCCTTCTCACCCCTTCAGGGATGCCTGGGTGCCCGGCAGGCCCTCGGAGACAAGGCCAGATTGGCCGGTCCCCTGCTGCGTGGCAGTGGGCTCCCTCCGTCCTTTCCTTGTCCTCCTCTCCCTCTTCTGTCTCCTTCAGCCCCCGGGGCCCGGGGGAGGTGCCTCACTCTGCCTCAGGCCTGGGAGGGATGACCCAGCCCCTGAAGGGTGGAGGCCTTCCCTGACAATGGCCCGGGAGGACTGAGCTTGGAGAGAGCAGAGCACGGAGGGCGCCGTGAGGGCTGGGCTCAGGCTGGGTTCAGAACCGTTCAAGAGAACAGGGTGCTTCCACGGTTGGACAATACTGTTTTGTTTTTAATTATACAAAGTTTCCAGACTTTATATTATCGTATTAAAGACACAAGATGCCAGCATGTAGTGACCAGAAGAAAACCCAGGTAGGAAGCCAGCACGGAAGGTTCCGGTGGGCTTGGGCCCGTCGGGCCCGTGCAGAGTCCCGCACACTTGTCTGTCCGTTGGCCCCGCCGTGGCCAGAGGCGAGGCTCGCTCGCTGGGCGCCCTCACAGGAGGCCTGTGCCCGAGTCCGGTCCACGGGAGCTCTCTGTGGCTAGCCCAGCGGTGTCCGTCTCTAACTCCGAATTGTCGTCTTTCTGTCTCTGTCCTTGCTCTGCAGAGGGGAGGGGTCAGTGTCAGGGCCTGGCCGCAGACCCAGTGCCAGCCCGCGCCTCTGGGCTTCCCCAGGGGGTGCTGTCTCAGGTGGCGGGTGCTGAAAGCACCCCCTTCCACGCTCACCCCGGCTTCCCCGTGCAGTTTGGGGAGGAGAGTGCGCTGCTGCACAGCCGAAATTGTAAAATTAAATTTCCCAGATGTTCAGGCCCCAGGAGCTCACGCGTGCTGTCTGGAGAGGAAATGGGGATCGGGGAAAAGCCGCGCCGCATTTTCTCCCCGCTCACCCTGCTTTTCCGGTGCCACCAAGCACAGCAGGAGCTGTAAATCAGCCGGCCAGCGCTCCCGCAACGTGGCCCTCCCTCCCCCCAGCCCCCACGTCTCCCGCCAGCCTCTTGTCTGCAGAGCCCACGGCTGCCCCGGGGGTCTGCGTGGGCAGCCCCAGGGGTGTGGGTGAGGGCCATGGGAGAGCTAGCAGGTGCCCCATAGGCTTTAGGCCAGTGGCAGGGGCTGTGGTAGGGCACACAGATGGGGGTGGGGGAGGGGGAGGGGGAGTCCCCTTCCTTTGGGGACAGGGTTGGGGGGGGCAGAGTTTCTTGAACCAGTTCTGGTCTAGCCCCCTGCCTCTTCTAGTTTGGTGTCTTCTCCCAGACTCCCATGTAGCGATGGTTGGCCCTGTCTGGTCCCCATGGGCACCTGTGTCCCTGGGGACTCGAGGGGAGAAGGCCCAAGGAAGGTCCGGCCCTGCCGGCCCCAGCTGGGCCTTCCTGTGCTCCTCCCTCCCCAGACTCCAGGGGCACACTGGGTCACAGGTGATGCTGGGGGTGGGGGGTGGGGAGCTCTGCCCGCCTCTGGCCAGGGTCTCTGCCCAGCAGGTGTGGGTAGCTAGGGCGATATCGAGGCAGAGACCGCCACAGCCTCCTGGTCCCTTTCCGTGTCTGCCCTGCGGGCCACACTCACCAACTTTCTCTGGTTGCTGAGGCAGAAGGTACAGATCTGTTTGGGCTGGGCGTTCTCGCCGTCGCGGGGCGGCGGCGGCGGCGGCGGCGGCGGCGGGGGGCTGCCGGGGCGCGCGGCGTGGAAGAAGGCAGGCCCCGAGTGGCACGGCTGCCCGTCGCCGCAGGCCTCGCCCACCAGCAGCACGTTGCCCAGGTGCGAGATGTAGCTGGAGGCCAGGCGCAGCGTCTCGATCTTGGAGAGCTTGCGGTCGGCCGGCTCCGTGGGGATGAGCGTGCGCAGCGCCGTGAAGGCCGTGTTCACGCTGTTGGTGCGGTCCCGCTCGCGCGCGTTCGCCGTGTGCCGCTGCCGGGGCTCTCGGCCCGGCCGTCCCCCGGGCCCCGCCGTGCCGCCCCCCGCCCGCCTGCCCCCGGCCCGCCTCCGAGCGCCCTGGAGGCCGCAGCGCGCGGCGTGCACGCGGCAGGGCTTCTCGTCGGAGCCCGAGCTCTCGCTGCCGCGGTCCTCGTCCTCCGACAGCGGGCTCACCTCGGGGTACAGGTAGCGGCCGGGCGGCGCCGAGCGCAGCATGGCGAAGGACATGGGGCCGGCGGGCGCGCCGTCAGCTCCGCCTCGCGCAGCGCATGCCGCCCGCCGCGCGGCCGCCCGGGGCCGGGGAGGCGCGGGTCTCGGGGGCCCGCGGTGGCGGCTGCGGCGCCGCGCGCACGTGTGCGTCCCGGGCTGGAGCGGGGCCGCGGGCCGGGCCTTTATAGTGGCGGCGGCCCCTCCCCCGCGCCGGCCCGCCCTCCTCCCCGCCTCCCAGCCCCCGGAGGCCGCGCAGAGCAGGGGCCCTCATCCCTCTGCCTTCTCGCGCCACGCTGAAGGAGCCTGGAGCATCTCGCTGTCTCTGGGGGCCGTGGGGGGGTGGGAGTCCCCTTCTGGGGGGGTACCGGGGCTCTGCCGCCCTCATCCTCTGCCTCAGCAGGGGGCGGGAGGGTCAAGTGGGACCCATGACCCAGGCGGGTCTTCTCCCCTGGCACTGGTGCCGGGCCACACCCTGTTTGTCTGGGTCTCTCTCTCCTCTGTACACTTGGGCTTTTTGTGGCAGGCAGAGTGGGGAGGGGATGCAAAGCCCTGGGGGGCTGGAGTTCACCCTACCATCCAAGGCTGCCCCCCACCCCGGGTGTGCGTGGGGTCACTGGGTGGCCCAGCCTCCCGGTGTCAGCCACGCCCTCCAGCTGTGGCACAAGCTGTGCCTTCTGCCTGATGCCTTGCTCTCTGCCAGCTCGTGCTGTACCTGCTGTGGGGCGACCTCCCTGTTCCCTTGGTGCACGCTCCAGGGTCTGTCCCATTCAGGGGTGGTGGCTCCACCCCACCCCCATGCAGAGGAGGAAGGCCAGGGGTACAGGAGGTGTCCCCGAAGGATGGCCTCACTGGGACCACGGAAGTTGGCAGGACTAGGGCAGGCAGGTGCAAAGGGGCCGAGTTCAGGGGGTCCTGTGCTCCTGCAAGGGGCCCCTGGGTTCCCCACTGTGCTCGGTCTCCTCTGGGCCCCTCCCCCTGTGGCCACTGTTCAGGAAGCGGCCGCCTGGGCAGCAGTCTCTGTGCTGGGCGGAGGGAGGGTGGTGGCTGGCAGGGGCCTCGACCAGGAATGTGTGTCCAGGAATGTGGCTGCTGGGGAGGGGGCAGGACCAGGGAGGGCTGGGGGGGGTCCACAAATGCCTGCAGGGCAGAATGCAGCGGCTTCTGTCTCCCCTTGGAGCGGGTTGGCGGGGTCTTCCCTGAGTCCCTGCCCGTGGCTACCCATTTTTGCCTAAGGCCCCCACCAGGGGAGGGAGCCCATGGGCGATGAGGTCACCCTTGTCTGTGGCTGCCCAGAGTCCTGGCCAAGGAATCCGGGGGGAGGCTCTGGGGTTGGCACCACTTCAGTGGAAAATGTGAAGGTACAGCTCCGGCGCCTCTGAGGGCCGGGGGGGGGGGGGTGGACAGCACTGGCCACTGCGCCACGTCACACCCCAGGGAGAGGGCATATGTCAGGGTGCTTGGTACCGTCCCAGCAGCCTCGAGGCCTGTCCCCTTGCTCTCACTGGTTCCCCCCGCCCTGGCCTGTGACTCTTGGGGCGCTTGCAGGGAGGATGGGCGCGGTGGGCGCGGATGCTGACAGCCTGGCGTGCTGCCCCAGGACATCCGGAACACGGTGGGCAACGTGCCCCTGGAGTGGTACGATGACTTCCCCCACGTGGGCTATGACCTGGACGGCAGGCGCATCTACAAGCCGCTGCGGACCCGTGACGAGCTGGACCAGTTTCTGGACAAGATGGATGACCCGGGTTACTGGTGCGCAGCCTCGGGCCAGGGCCAGCGGGGGCGGGGTGGGGGGCTTCGGGCTCGGCTCTGATCGCGACCCCCCAGGCGCACGGTGCGGGACCGGATGACTGGGCACGACGTGAGGCTGACCGACGAGCAGGTGGCCCTGGTACGGCGGCTGCAGAGCGGCCAGTTTGGGGACGGGAGCTGCGACCCCTACGAGGTGGGTAGTGGCGGCTCGCCCTGGGTGTGCGGGGGCCGCCGCAGAGCCCGGGCCCACCCATCTGCTGTGCCCTCAGCCGGCCGTGGACTTCTTCAGCGGTGACCTGATGCTGCACCCGGTGACCAGCCGACCCGCCGACAAGCGCAGCTTCATCCCGTCCCTGGTGGAGAAGGAGAAGGTAGGCGCTGGCTGCTGGCCACCCCCCTGCTGCCGCGGCCGGACCTCCGCCCCCCCACCCCCCGCGTCCCCGCGCGCTCACTGGCCCCGGCCTCGCAGGTCTCTCGTATGGTGCACGCCATCAAGATGGGCTGGATTCAGCCACGCCGGCCCCGGGACCACACACCCAGCTTCTACGACCTCTGGGCGCAGGAGGACCCGGACGCCGTGCTGGGCCGGCACAAGATGCATGTGCCCGCGCCGAAGCTGGCCCTGCCCGGCCACGCAGAGTCCTACAACCCGCCCCCCGAGTACCTGCCCAGCGAAGAGGAGGTGGGCCTCGCCCTGGGATGGGGGTTTGGGTCCCCGCTTCTGGCCCTGGTCCCCCAGCTCATCCCTGTCTCCGCAGCGCCTGGTGTGGGAGCAGCAGGAGCCGGGCGAGAGGAAGCTCAACTTCTTGCCCCGCAAGTTCCCGAGCCTGCGGGCCGTGCCTGCGTACGGACGGTTTATCCAGGAGCGCTTCGAGCGCTGCCTTGACCTCTACCTGTGCCCGCGGCAGCGCAAGATGAGGGTGTGTGTGGTGGGGGGTGCAGGAAAGGGGCGGGGGCCACAGGACGAGGGGCGGGATGACCTCGTGCTCTCCTGGTCCAGGTGAACGTGGACCCTGAAGACCTCATTCCGAAACTGCCCCGGCCGCGGGACCTGCAGCCTTTCCCCACGTGCCAGGCCCTGGTGAGTGGGTGGGGGATGGGCAGGTGGGGGAGCCTCTGAGAGGGGTGTCTCCTCACTGATCCTCCTCCATAGGTCTATAGGGGCCACAGCAACCTTGTCCGTTGCCTCAGTGTGTCCCCGGATGGCCAGTGGCTGGCTTCAGGTGAGCCTGAGGTGTGGGCATTGCCAGTAGGGGGTTGGGGTGCTGCTGGGGGGCGGGAGGGCAGCTGGTGAGGGCCTTGTTCACGTGTCCAGGCTCCGATGACGGCTCGGTGCGGCTCTGGGAGGTGGCCACTGCCCGCTGCATGAGGACTGTGCCCGTGGGGGGCGTGGTAAAGAGCGTCGCCTGGAACCCTCGCCCCACCATCTGCTTGGTGGCCGTGGCGGCGTAAGTGGGCGGCCCGGGGTGCGCCGGGGGCCACGGGTGCAGACCTGCGCCTGAGGGGCCGCATGTCACTCTGGCCTGCAGAGAGGACTCAGTGCTGCTGTTGAACCCGGCCCTGGGGGACCGGCTGGTGGCGGGCAGCACGGACCAGCTGCTGAGCGCCTTCGTCCCGCCCGAGGAGCCCGCGGCGCAGCCCGCCCGCTGGCTGGAGGCCTCGGAGGAGGAGCGCCAGGGGGGCCTGCGCCTGCGCATCTGCCACGGGAAGGTGTGGGGGCTGCCGGCGGGTGTGTGGAGTCAGGGTGGCCAAGGGCCGGGGAGAGCGCGACTGAGCCAGCCTTGCCTTCTGCAGCCGGTGACACAGGTGACCTGGCACGGGCGTGGGGACTACATGGCCGTGGTGCTGGCTGCTGCGGGGCACACGCAGGTGCTGATCCACCAGCTGAGCCGGCGCCGCAGCCAAAGCCCCTTCCGCCGTAGCCACGGACACGTGCAGTGCGTGGCCTTCCACCCCCTGAGACCCTTCCTGCTGGTGGCCTCCCAGCGCGCTGTCCGCCTGTACCACCTGCTGCGCCAGGAGCTCACGAAGAAGCTCCGACCCAACTGCAAGTGGGTGTCCAGCCTGGCCGTGCACCCTGCAGGTGAGGGCGCCGGGGCATGGCGGGGCCGTGCACCTGCAGGTGAGGGTGGGCGGGCGCGTGGGCAGGGGAGTGTGCACCCGCAGGTCCCCACCAGCCCCTGCACCCCCAGGAGACAACGTCATCTGTGGTAGCTATGACAGCAAGCTTGTGTGGTTCGACCTGGACCTTTCCTGTGAGCCGTACAGGGTGCTGAGGTGAGTGGGGGTGGGGGTGTGGGTGCCGGCGGGCCCGCCCCGGCCCTCCCCCGCCCTCCCCCCCGGCCCTCCCAAGCCCTCACCAGCCCCTGCCCTCCAGGCATCACAAGAAGGCCCTCAGGGCTGTGGCCTTCCACACCCGGTACCCACTGTTCGCATCTGGCTCAGACGACGGGAGCGTCACCGTGTGCCACGGGATGGTGTACAAGTGAGTGCGAGCCCCACGCGCCCTGCCTGGCTTGGGGGAGGGGTGCTCCCCCGCCTGAGTCCCTCTGCTCCCCTCCCCCACAGTGACCTGCTGCAGAACCCGACGCTGGTGCCAGTGAAGGTGCTACGGGGGCATGTGCCGACCCGAGACCTGGGGGTCCTGGACGTGGCCTTCCACCCCACCCAGCCGTGGGTCTTCTCCTCAGGGGCCGACGGCACCATCCGCCTGTTCAGCTAGGCCCCGGGGCACGTGTGTGCTCAGGGCCCTCAATACAAGTGTCCCCCACGACTGCTGTGTGACCTTTATTTGGGGGTTTCCGACCGGCCACCCCACCACCTCTTGGGGCCTTCCCCGGTTCAGTCTTCCTAATCGGGGTGCAGGCGCTCCCCGCTGCCCCTGGAGGACTGGCTAGGTCCTTGCACTCCCACGCCACCTGCTGAGGACCCAATGGCTTTATTGGAAACCGGAGTGGGGGTACAGCCACTTGCCCCCCGCCCCGCACTGGCCTCCTGCGGCCTCTCCAGAAGGGCAGGCGTTGGACCCCTGTGTGGCGGGGGTGCCGGCAGCTTCGGACTCGGCCTCGGGCCGGGGGCTCCTTGGGGCTCCCCCAGGGGGTTCAGACCCAGGCTGCGGCTGCTTGTCAGGGCGGCGCCGCTGCGGGAGCCTCAGGCGAACTTCCCCAGGCGGCCCAGAGTCTCAGCAGCCTTCACGCGCACCAGCGGGGCTGGGTCCTTGAGCAGCAGCTGGAGCGCTGGGGGGCGGGAGTGGGAGCGGGGACAGCGGGCTACTGCCGACGGTTGCCCGTGCAGCCTCTAGAGGACGCCCC